GGCAAAACATAAGTCCCCGTTTTCGGACTGCGTCCGAACGGGGACTAAAAAGCTAAGAAAGAACTATTGGAAACACATTAAAAATTGATTAGAAATTACTTGAGATATTGTTGGAAAAGCTGAAAACTAATTATGCAAATCAGGAAATTAATATGAACAGATTTGAGTGCAAAACTAATGAGATCTGCGCAATGTAACAAACCATCTATGTACCAAGTTTTATTGAAATGTGATTAGAACCAACCAATTACGAATTATTATGCTAATTAGGGAATTAATATGAACAGATTTTAACCCAAAACTAATCAGGTTTGTACATTGCCTAGATAGTCTGGTTGCCAAACCCCAGTTTTTTGGATAACCTTGCAATGCGGTCCATACAAAGTTTTTTTGCTGTTTCTATACCTCTGAGGTATGCTCTTTAAGAATCTGGATGATGCCACTCTGTCACCCTTGGGCAATCCGCACAATATGCAAATTAAGATGGCCATTATGGAAAATCTTGTTTTCGTCAATATCTCATTAACTACACATGATATCAAGATGATTTCAGTGTCTATCCCCATGTTTTGAGGGGCAAAGAATCAGATTAAGCCATTTCAATGAGGTTTACACAAATATTTTGTGCTGAATATATATTTAATATTCTATTTAAGGCGGTCATTATGGAAAATCTTGCTTGTGTCAATACACATGGTATGAAAATAATTTTGGTTTCAGATCAGATTAATACATTTGAATTTCCCGCCCAAAAACCATTCAAAAACATATACCAATCAGAAAGGTTGTAAGGAAAAAATCAGTTCACCAATCAGGAGCTGTGTATCATCAAGTGTTTAGGGTTACTCTCCACTGTGTGTGTGTATTACCCCTGGGTCTTTTCTCCACATGCAAATAAGCTGTGTTTTGTTGGCAAAAGAAACAGAACGTGTGATAGATAGCGATAAGTGAATAATGTTTCTGCCATCTGTTTGTTTTTGTGTCTGCTTACTTATCCAGCAATATTTCCTCTATCTGATTACAGAACACGCATGTGTGTGGGGGGATTGTTTAGATTGATGGAAAAACCTGTATTATCAATTTTGAGTAAATGGAAAAATTTATTATGCATATCAAGGCCACCATTACTGACAATTTGCCATTCCTGAAAATCTTCCAATGTTAGTAGCTACACATGGTTAAAGCAGCCACTGCTCTGTTTGTTATTCAAGTGCCTGGTTCTGTAAAAGTGACTCCCATATATTTTTTGTATCATTTAGAGCTGAACTATGGATGGGTGCTGCATTTTTTTGCAAAAAAGATGGAAGCAAGAAAGAACTTAGTGTTGCAGGGACTGGCAGGATACAGACTATCATTGAAACAAGTAAACGGAGAATTGATGATTTCCATGAAAGTCTTGAAACTAGACTGCTGGCAGACACAAATTTACAGGTGCTTTGTCATAGAGATTGTGGATCCACATATACATCCAAATGTCACATCAAGAGACACTTGAATAAACTGAGCGCATCAAAAGTTTCTGAAGATAGATCTGCAGTAAAATGACAACCTTCAACTTCGTGCAACATTGTCTTTTCTGCAGCGAGGAATGCCTTGACTTTGATAACAACCATCCGGACTGTTGGCGCAGGGTTGTTCTTTGTAGAACAGCGGACCGTGTTGAAGGCAGAGACACGTTTAGCTGAGGCAGTGAGTGATCTTCATGCAGCAGATGGTAGATACATATACCACAAAGACTATTACGAGACGTTTTGTCCACCTCGGTCAGTGAAGTCAGCTTCGGCAGTATGTAGTAGTAGCCAGGAGGAGATGGATGTAGCATTTGAAGTGACAGTCAGTGAAGTGAGAGCAGATTCATCACGAGTATGGAATTCCATCGAATTATACGATCTATATAAGTCTAATGGTGGAAAATAGATTAGTCGCCGAACTTCCATGTTGTTGGAACACTTTGGTTCTGATCTTCTCATGCTGAGTGGCACAGTTTTGCTAGTCTTCTCGTCCTTCGAAGTAAGGCATCAAGTTTGTTGAAACTAGTGCCAAGTTGTAATGAAGATGATGTTGAGATTGGCTAGAAAAGGTTGCTCACCAGATTGCCGTGATGTAAAGGAGTCATCAGTTGATGACAAGAACTATCATGCAAGAGTTGATATGGACATTGCCATTGAATGTATCAGTTCAACTTTGTTATCCTTGCTATCTAAGCTTTCTTCAAAGTTGGATCGCACATTACCAGCCGCTCTCATCGGGAACATTGTTACTAATGCCATAAGTGGTAGATTCACAACCCTCCAGATTGCACTAGGTGTTGTCTTAAACAGGAAAGGGTTGATTGAGCAATTTCATGAATTCCTCGTATCTTGCAGCTATGACGAATTTCTTAGGTTCAAAGCATCGGCAGCAGCAGCAGCTGTAAACAATGCATCGTTAGGAGGACATGTCCATGCTGAAGACAGTCTTGTTCCACTTGTTTCTGACAATTTAGATGCTCAGATTTCATCACAGAATGGGCTCCTATCCACACACTCTCTCGCATTGCTTCTAACATTTGTGGATAAGCATGGTAGAGCTGATGCCAATAGGCAGACCTTTTGTCGCATAGGAAAAGATGAGATGAAAAAACAGATTATCGAAGATATTCCTATCCTGAGATACTATGGTCCTAAGAAGCCAAACATGCCTTTCAGTGAAGTAAATCGTTCGGTCTTACCACTTAAAGTAATGGCGCACCAAGTCGTTGCTTTAGAAAGGGCCCACCATTTAGACTTTGAGTTCTTTAAGTGTGTTGCTACAAGCACAAATCCAATCGAGTTTGGTGGCTTCTACACTAAACTGTGTAGAGAGCAAGGACAGAATGTGAAACCAGCGACAAAGGCCATGTATCTGCCATTGATTGATATGAATCCAACCCATCCGGACTCCATGATCACAGCCATGACTGAGGCTCAGCATCTTACAAAAGAATGTGGCCAGGACATTACTATTATGACAAATAATCAGTAGCTCTACAGAGTTGCAGTCAATGTAAAATGGGTTTACCAAGCAAGATTATCTGATTTCATACCAAGGCTCGGGGGCATGTACATGCTCATGAGTTTTATTGGCTGTGTTGTCGTATTGATGGCAGACAGTGGACTTGAGGATATCATGAAATCATGCCACACGCACACATGCTGTCAGGGAAAAAGTTCCCACAGAACTTTAGAGCCCTTAGGTTAGTGACAGAAGAACTGTTGCGTCCACATCTGGAAAGATTTGAAAGTCATGAGGAGATGTTTGAAGCGCTTGAAATTCTCTCCTCAAGAAGCCTTACAACTCGCCACTGGGTTCAGAACATGATAAAACCTGTCTTCATCATGATGGTCTTTGTGCGGGCAGAACGAGAGGCCGACTGGCCACTCCACCTCTGGGCAGTAGAGCAAATGATGCCATATTTGTTTGCCTCTGCTCACTTCAACTTCAACTAGCGCCTACCACCTGAAGTACTTCAGTGTTTCATGAGAGGTGAACACACCATGCGTCA